CTGTTATACGTTTAATAAGATTATTGTTTCTCTAGAATAATGAAAAATGCAATTTAAAAACTATTCTAATAGTTCTGCTTACTTCAACTTTTATTACGAAAAAATAATGTTCTTTGTAACATGTAAATCCTATTGTTGAATTTAATATGGAATATTCAATAAATATTTGAAAATCATTATTTTTGTTGTATATGAAATAATTAGAAAACTAAAAAAGAAAATTTCATAAAGTTGAATTAAGGTCATTTTCTTACTCCATGTGCCATTACAACAAAAAAATTTCTTTCGATCATGATGTAGTGCAAAACAGTTATCATTTTATACCTCTATCAATTATGTAAAACAGAAATAACGTAACTGGTTGTTACCACCATTATCATTGAGTATAGGAAAAAAAGAATTGAAGAAATTATTTTCCTCAACACTTCATGCGTATATAAGACATGTACGAGTCTCAATCCAACTAGGTGAGATCCTATTTAAATGTCAAGCCAACTGAGCATGAACGAGACTTCATATCAATCTGAATGATTAATAGTTCCTTTGTGATTCTGATTCAATCTCAATAGTAGCGGTCCGACTGAAATTGATGCATACGTAGTTCATATTCAATATCTTTTGTTTATTAAGCAAAATAAAAAATACGGATGCTTTTTTGCTGCTCAATAAATACCATTCTATTTTTCTTTCTCTTATTCACTTTACATTCACAACAGAAGTTAAGAACAAATAGTCCCACATGAATGAATCTCATGCTATTTTTGTGTTGATGATTCATCAACCTTCACCACTACTTGAGAAAGCGTTTTATTATTTTTTTTTCTTGCGACTTTCTTGTTTTTTTTTGTATTCTACGCTTTAAAAATAAACTGTTGGTTGTAATCATCAACCGTGACCATAAAACTACATTAACTTACAGCTTCATTATTCTGTATAATATCCTTGAAGAAAAAACTAGTAGGCGAAAAATCAGCGACACCAATAAAATTTTACAATTGCTTGATCATAAAACTAAAAACTAAAACAAATGATTTTATTATTTCGGGAAAATCTTATGTATAAATTTATTGGCTCCTTTATTCTATTTTAGATGGATAATTTAGATACTAATACATATTTTGAATTTAAAACGTATGAAGAATTTAGAAAAGAACGATTGAAATTAAATTATGATAATACATTAAAACTATGGTATTCATTACCTGATACTCTACCAATAAGTGATAACAATCGAGTCAGACGACAAACACGTAAAGAACAACGAGCACGTTTTAGAAAAATAAAAAATTATTTGGTTTATTCTATATTGCTCAAGAAAACATTCCTTAAGGACAAAATTCAGTCAAAAAGTAAATAAAAAACAAATAATAACTTTGATGATTACTCGAGAAATTATTATATAACAATTTAATTTCGATTGTTGCTTATTTTCAACATAATTTGCGATGAAATTATTGAAAAAATATATATTAGATTATTATTCGTTTATATCAAAGTATAAAATTCAAAGAAATTACATGAAAATTATTGTTTTGAAATAGATGATAGAAAATTTTTTTTTGATTTTGTTCTTATTATTATTCTAAGATAGTAGTTTTGAAATCAAAACCAAACTAGGAAAATATGCTTTGATGAAAATTTGATTTCATTTTTCTTTCAGTTTTTCGACTATGGAATGACACATTAAATATACCCGAATCAAATGATAAATTTATTTATGATGTATATCAAATAGTGGGTCGAATCACTGCAGATTTTTATACTAAAGCAAAACAATATGATGCAACAATCAGTTATGAAGAATTATTTAAAGCTTGTCGATGTGTTTGGTCTATGGTTGCTTTTCAAATAGAATTCCATTCACCCTCAATTTTGACTGATTCCATGCTTGGTTATAATATGCTTTATCCATATACAGATGATTTAGTCGATTGTAACGATATAAATCAAGAAGCAAAAGTTGATTTCGCAAAAATTTTTCATGATCGATTACTAATTGGTGAACCAACATATGATCCTCAAGTACATTTTGATGGAAAACAATCAAATGTTACTGAATTAAATTTACCATCATCATTACAAACACAAGATAATCGTATAGTAAAAATATTTGATATGGTTAAATTTATTGAAAATGATTGGAAACGTGGTGGTGAATATGAAAGTGTTTACATGGGTTTAACTACAATACATGAAGCACAAATGAAATCAACATTACAACATGCAAGAACTGAAGATGGTTATGCACCAACCATGACACAAATTGAACAAATTAGTGCAGAAAAAGGTGGTGCATCATTAATAGCTGCTGGATTTATACTTGAAGGACGATTAACAAGAGGTAAAATGGCTTATTTAGAGTATATAGGTTTTGGTTTACAATTAATTGATGATTTACAAGTAAGTTTACATTAATTTTGAAAAGAAAATATTTTTATTTTTTGTTTGTTCAAGGATTTAAAAGAAGATATGAAAAATAATCGTCGAACAATTTTTACTCAAGCTCTTGCTGAAGGTCGAACATTAGATGCACCAACAGCACGTCTTATACAATATTATTATTGTGCACCAGAATATGAAAAATTTATCAATGATCAACATACAGTTTCAGATGGAGAAACTGATGTTACATCAGCTGAATATGTTCGAGTCTTAATGATGATGTTTTCTGTTTTATTGATTTTAGAAGCTGCATCTCGATTACGAAGATATTATTCAAAAGAATTTTATCGTGAATTATCTTCATTAAGCCCACTTAGATTTCATCATCTCAGATTAGCTCATATTGAAAAAACAATTTGGCGTATTGTACAAAAACAATGGTTTGGATAAGTTATTTTTTAATCGTTTATTTGACAATTGTGATAATCTATTGATTTTATTAAAATATGTTTTACGTATATAAATGTATATGACAGGATTTTTTTTATTTATTATTCGAATAAAAGACGATAGAACAGCTATTATTCATCATTCGAAAGGAATGAAACACAAAGAAAAAAAAAAGAGTCTCGGCCGAGATTTGAACCCAGATACTATCATAATTAGTAACTAGCCCGACGCTTTTACCGAATAAACTGTCGAAACAAAGTATGAACTCAAATTCAATGTGAATATTTATTTTAATCTTTTTGATTTATGAATAAAAGCTGTTCTACTATCTTTGATTCGACTAACATATGTTTTATGCATTTTCTTTTGCCAAAAAGAAATAAATAATATCAATTAATTAGATTTATATAGTTTGTTTTGCTTCCACAAAACACAATCGATATACTAGAAAATATATGTTTGTAAAAGGTGGATGAATTAATCTACTTTCCTGATGCCGCTATGAATCTTGACTGTAGTTCATAATTAATAAGATGACATGAAATAAATGACTAATTTTGAGAGATTTTGAAAAATATTCTTCTAGTTTATCTATTTTGATATTATTTCGGACATTAGTTTTATCTATAATGTAAACAGAAAGTTTGGGAGAATGTTTTTCGCTGTTTTTTTTTCAAACTATATCATGATTGCAGAAATGTATTTCAAAAGAATTCAATAAAACAGTAACAGATCTTCGATTTTGTAAGAGTAAATAGTATTAACTCATGTTTTGTTCATTCTTATTGGAGAAAAACGAACAAAATCTTGTCGGAATCGAAGGTGATTTCTCCTTCGCACTCCTCCATAGATCGATCACTGCGATACAAATTAGCAAACACTGGGTCTTAATACATGTGATAAATTCAAAACAATCAATATACATTACAAAGATGTAGAGTAGTTCGAGTCTATGTTCAACACCTTTTCAAAAATCGAAGTTTAAAGTGTCATAAGTTTGCTATTTTTTCAGTTTTTTTTGGCCAAAAACATTGATTTTCAATCCAAAATGTTCTCTACACACCTATCTAAAACTTAATAACTCGATAAGGGAATCTTTTTTTTAACTGAAACTTCCTCAATATTCTAAGTATCATTAGTTGTATCTTCAGACAAAATTTCACGCTGAGCTTTAGCAATTCGATTTTTGAGCAAATAAACAATAATTCAACTAGAAAAGCCTATGGAGACCGACCTTTGTAGGCATTTTCTAGCCTTATCAAGATCTTTTTATGGATCCAATAGATAATCAAACGATGGTTTATAGGTTCGAATAATCACCTCGTCAGCTGCAAAGACCCATATCCTGTATAATGTAACTAAAAATTTCTATGTATCAAGGTACTCAAAGAAGAATTCATTTATTTAATTGCTACCATTTGAATTTATAATTTCGAGACTTGACAAGTAAACCTTTACGTTTTGTGATTAATAGATCACACTATTTATAGCGATGCTTTGATCCGATTATATTCGACTTACAATATAACATTAAACTATTTAATATAATTGACGATACTATTTGTACAACATTCAAATGATGTTCTCTTTTTTGTTATTTTGTAATGTGAAATCTAATGGTTCGACTGATAACATAGCAGTAAAGCAATAACTTCCACTGTGAAGTTCTACATGATATTTTACGTTAAAAAAGACACTTCATATAAATGTTATGCGATTTCTGTCATGTTCATTAGAATTTGAGAATTGTCCCATTAATTGTGTAACAGTTCCTTCTCGTTATCGAGTTAAATATCGTTGAGTATGAGTTACATTAGAAGCTTGATTTGATTGCCGAAAAGCAATTGAAATTGAGCACGGAAAATATTGAAAAAATTCTTTTCGAAATAATTTTGATGTTAAACAATGTAAATAAAAATTTAATGAATAATTTAATGTTGTTACGAAATCCAATATAGATATTAACATAAGTTTAAAAGAAAATGGCTGTTGAATATTCAATGTAGCAATCGCAAAATAAAATAAAGCAATAGGACATGTTGTAAGAAAAAATAACATTAGAGCAGCAAACATAAGTATAAACATTTGTCGATGAAGAAAATGTGCACGCCGTCTTTCTTGTTGATTTTCATTTGTTTGTTCGATAGTAATAACTCGATTTCGACGTGTTTGTACATTTATAATTATAGCTATAAGACAAAATACCATAAAACTTGCTGGGATAATTGTAACACTAAGAATAGTAATAACTGGCCAAATATTATTGTAAAAATATGTGTAGCTTGGATAAGGGTGTGGGTGTGGGTGTGCGGTGTGGGTGTGGGTGTGGGTGGGTGTGGGTGTGTGGGTGTGAATGTGGGGTGTGGGTGTGGGTTGGGTGTGAGTATGGGTTTT